AACTTCAGGGTGCTACCTATCTCGCTCGACACAGGCCAACTCTTAACTATGGCTACAACTCGGACCAACGGCTTCCAACTGACAAGGGAAGGATACTAGGTCGCAGTGGCCATTCAAAATGAGATGCATATCGTCGTAAGTTCTTCTGAACGCTGTTTTCAAATCTGGTTTCCAAATCTGCGAAGCGATTCTGGGAGCAAAGTTATGGCCCCCCTCTCCCCCGGCTGTCATGCCACTTTTCTGCTTGTATATGCGTCCCAAGCAGTAACGGAGTGTGCACAGATGGCTGAGGTGGGAGCGCGATGGGCTGGTGGGCGTGGCAAGGGAGTTCGAACCCTTGATTTATCTGCTTGCTTTGCTTTTCTAAAAAAAGTGCCCTAAACGCTTGCAAAACATATTTACGCATCATATAGACTATCTACAGCTTTCCTTCATGTTTACGCAGCACCAAAAATGAAAATACAAGTGAAATTTCTTATCGCCTCTGGTTGCGAAATTAGCGCTCCATGCAATTTCGACAGAGGGCGGCCGGGCAACACGTCAGACCATAGCGCTTTGTAATGAAGTATTGCTTCCTCTAGCAAGTGATGGAAGTGAATTTTTTCAATACAACTGAAATTTTTATGAAAAGCTACTATCGTAATGATAGATGAGCATTTTACGAACAGATATGGTAATCCAACACAAAGTGTTTGAAACAGAAAGGCCTCTCACAATGAGAGCAACGTATGAAAAATAATTCCCCACACCCGTCACTCTCAAGTTCCCGTCTAGAAGAGATGATGAACAATATTGAACAGGAGTTTCGAATTTTCCTGGGTCTCTATCCAGGTACCCTGCTGCAAACCATGAATTAGAAAGGTACTTTTTGAATCTAGGGGCGCTAAACAAGAAGTATACTAGTGAGAATTATGGAGTTGCGATTGCTAACGTGGAAGTCCAGATCATGAGCAATTACGAAAGAGACAATACGCTAATACATACATAGCTTTGAATGGTAAGAAAAAATAAACATCTAGAGGCTGAATTTGGGAGGTTGCCCCAGGTGGAATGTCGAGCACTTTCACCTCCTTGTCAGTTGGCAAAGCATTCTGAATCGCCTCATGGTCCTTGAAATGCTCCATGAGTCGAAGATTAATAGGGTTGAAGGCAAATCTGTCGTTCCAACGCATGATCTAACCCAATCCAGCATAAGTTCTTTGCTCATTCTGTGGGTTGTACTGGCCCTGATCCTCAAGTTCGAAGCGCGGAAACAACCTTTAGCCGGAAAACGTCCGTTAGGTTCCTGATAGAGCAACCGTTTTGAAATGTGAGTTAATTTATACATATTTTCTCTATAACACCGCCCTGCATTACAACATAAAATTGTTTTGCTAAATGACCCTCGGCAAATAGGGTTGGCATAACAGTGAAAAAGTGAGATGTTGTCGAAACAGGCTGTACAACTCTTTCCACTTTCTTCTGACCCCTTACAGCTAGGTTTTAGCCGGATGCAACTCCTTCACGAAACCGCTTTGATCGGCGTTGCATATTGTATCCAATGGCCGATTCTCCATTTCTAGAATTTACAGGCTCATTAATGTAGCTACAAGGCTGTCAACGACTGTCAGGCTGACAGCGACTGCACACATGAATTCTGCGATTTTTGTCATAAAATCCTTTCCTTGAGGTGAACGTGGTGATACGGCGAGACACAATACCACAGCTCGACTTGAAGCCCTGGATCCACCGATGGCTGACTCCAAATTCTTCTCTATGGAGCCTTCCTTGTTAATATTGAGCGCCATGCGGTGGATATCGCTGTCATGCAGTGAGATTCCCGTATTCATTTTCGCGATAATCTCTTCCTTCAAGAAATCGGCCAATCTGCGGAGCCCGACAACTCGATCTGCACCTAATATTTACAACCATGTAAGGCATCATATGTGGTCGAAAAAGACTTAACTGAAAGCTTACGATCTTGCTCAATTTTTCTCAACTTCCTTATTTGATATTCCGTCGTGATGAAACGGAACTTGCTCTTCATGCACGAAAGTGTGCGGCTTTTTTTAGTACTTGAAGGCCATGGCCTCATACCCTGCACCATAAAATTGGAGATCATGGATAAAATTCCAAAGTTAAACTGTACCTTCTCCTTTGATAACTCTGCATCTCCGAAAAGGTAAAAAGTTCTCTCTCGGGAGGTACTGGGTCCGTCATCGTCGTCGCTCTCATCAGGAGACCAAAGAGGATCAATATCATCTTCTTCCAAGGGCTCGTCTTTCTCACAGTCAATGACGAGATTGTCGTACATAGCATCGCGAAGTATAGATGAGAAACTCTCTATTACCTTCTGTTCCTTCCTGAATGGTGTTTGAGTTATGTCGCAAGAGCCAAATTCCTTCAACAAATGGAATACGACCACTTTTGGGCAGAACATATCGCTGGTAATATGTTGGGAGCACTTTGATCGATTAAATGTTTTGGTCGTAAGTTTCTTTCGAACACTCCAGATCTTGCTCAAAATATTATTGTAAAATTGCTCAAAATCTCTTGCTCAAATTTTTGCAATAATATTTTGAGCAAAGCTTTCGCAACTCTTCCCTGCTGGACTTTGCACCCGTATTCGTTCTGTGTATAAACATTGCTGGTGGTTCGCTATTATGAAGGGGGGCTGTAGATAGTCTATATGATGCGTAACTATGTTTTGCAAGCGTTTAAGGCACTTTTTATAAAAGGTCGCACCTACCAGTCCATCGTCCTCCCAACTAGGCCATCTGTGCACATTCCAGTGCTGCTTGGGTCGCATATGAAAGCAGAAAAGTGGCATGGCACCCGGGGGAGAGGGGGCCCATAACTTTGTTCCCAGAATCGTTTCGCAGATCCGGAACTCAGATTTGAAATCAGCGTTCAGAAGAACTTACGTCGGTATACATATCATTTTGAATGGCCTCTGCGACCTAGTATCCTTCCCTTGTGAGTAGGATTTCAACAAATCAATTCCTCTTATAACGGTTGCTCAAGTTTGTTGAAGATGGAACGAGTGAGACTGCCCGGTGATCCACGAGCAATTGATTGAGAGTGACGCCACACGTATCAGTTCCAACTATCAAAGCTCACACAGTGGGATGTAGCACAAGAGGTCACCAAATATGCTGATGCACTTACTCTGCTATTCATGCTTGGATTTCTTTCCCCTATTTGAGGGTCCGGCATCTTCTCCTCGAAAGGCGTGTCGCGCTCGCTGCACGGGATCGCGCGCTATGAAGAGAAAGATTCGAGTTCCCAATGGAAGGATACGGAGAGTCGCCGCGAACCACTGCCGCAGGAAGTGAAAATTCGGGGAAAAGTTCCGTTACCCCTCACCTAGAGAGTCTTTATGGTTCTTCTTATGCAAATAGTGTTACCGAGAGTCAGAATCATGGATTTACGTCAAAGTTACAACCATCATCACTGTCTCTTCTGTGCTTGCCAATTGGTGCAACCAAGCTATTTCTAGCTACATGTCGTTTCATACTAACACATAACAGTCTCCCAGTTTCTTCAGTACACCAAGCACCACTTGCCAAACACCGAAGCTGGCAAACCACAGTCATTATGTGCACAATCTCCTATGTTTCTTCAACCCATTGGCGACCGCGCCTTCTGAGCGTGTCTGGCGTGTGGGACCGAGCTCTGTCTGTGGCCCGCCGGCGGGTGTGGGACGTTAGTCTCGACTGACATTACTTTGCACCGAGGTGCGAAGTGACCTCAATCGTAATTAACCACATCTTAATTACGCGTCTCCTCTCGATCGTAACTGACCTCATCTTACTTATCAGAGTGATGGCGAATGATGAGAATGATGAGAAAATGAAACTTAAAGAAAATTAGTAGTTCAACATAAAATCCTCATGGTCTTTGGTTTAAAGGGCTTTATTACCATGCAAGATGATAGAAATTTCAACAAAAAAATCCAATAAAGTGTAAAAAAATTTTCTTTTAATAAGAAGCATTTCAAAAATAATATTCGAAAATATGCAAATGTAATAATATGCAAAAAGGGTCTTGTTCGTTACGAATTCGGGCATCTTTATGCAAGACCCCTCAATTTGGGTGCGATTCGCTCCCCTCCGATGAACTTCGTCGAAGCGGTTGGGAAGGTGCAGATTAGCATAGTACAAGGATTGCGGTGCGGGTTGAAGCGGTTGAGTAGGTGCAGAAGTATTATAGAGCGAAGGCTAAGGTTTGAGCTAGGCTTCTTTCCTATAGTCATCACTTACCCACCAGGCTAAATAGTACCTGGTGAATAGTCTCTTCAATGTGCCGAATTTAGCCGGGAGTATTGTAAAATTCCGTGAGAAGTGTGAAATGGCCTAATCAGCCGGAGGGTGTTCAACGACCTTTCAAAGACGAGATACCCCAATATGGAACAACTACGTCGCTTCTGTGAATGTCGTTTGATATCACAGATTAGTGAAAAAAGGATGTTTTTTATATCTTACACGAACTTCATTCATGACCATCAAATTTTTCTATTCTATATGGCAATAAAAGTCTTTGAACCGAAGACCACAAAAATTGAAAACTAATTTCCTTGGAATTTCATTTTCTCATCATTTTCATCATTCGACATCACTCTCATAGGTGAGATGAGGTTAGTAACGATCGAGGGGAGGCGCGTAATTAAGATGAGGTCACTTCCCACCTCGGCGCGAAGTAATGTCAGTCGAGACAAACGTCGCACACCCCCCGCCGGCGGCCACGAGGTTCCAGGAGGAGCAATCTTACTTTCGGGAACACTTTCACCAGACGAAAAATTTTATAAAAATGGCAAGGAAGAAAAGATAAGTTTCACACAACAAACAGTGCTGTCGTTACTAGGGCTGCCTTTTATATTTTGAGATTTGACAACACCTGTGTAGCAATCTAGCAGCTGACACCACTATCGTAAAGTTTGACTATTTTGGGGTTACGTTGCAAAATTTGAGTGCGATTTGTGTTGTTTACACTGAGTTATAAGGTTTTGTTTAGGCCAAGTTATGGGGTTGAATCGTGAGCATTTTCGCGCGAGTGTTTTCTACAACTTTCGACGTGGACTAACTCAACAGCAATGCATGGATGAACTTAGTTCAACTTTTGGTGATGAAGCTCCATCCACGGCTAGTGTTTATCGATGGTACAGTGAGTTCACCCGAGGTCGTAGTTCACTCGAAGACGAATTTCGTGGAGGTCGTCCAAAATCAGTTGTTGTTCCGGAAACCGGTGATACTGTGCACAAACTAATACTGCAAGAACGTCATGTGACCTATCGTGAGATTGGAACAACCTAAGGCATTGGTGGGACCACCATCGATTCAATATTGCATGAACATTTGACTGTAAAAAAATCGTTTTTGAAAAATCTGTCAATCCCCCAAAAAGAGGGACTCATGTCGATTGGTCGAAAGAAATGCTCAAAAAATACGATCGCGGTGCTTCGAAACACGTTTATGACATCGAGACAGGTGATGGATCATGGATTTATGCGTATGAGCCCGAAAGGAAACAGCAGTCGACCGTATGGGTATTTCAAGATGAGCCAATCCAACAAAGGCTGTCCGCGCACCAAGCACTTCCGAGCAATTGTTCTCCTGTTTCTTTGAGAAAACTGGACATGCCGCAACCGTACCACTAGAACAAGCAGAACAGTCAATTCTGAGTGGTATACCACCATTTGTTTGCCAGTTGACTTCCAAAAAATCAGGAAAAACAACTGCTGAAGGCGGATCACTCTTCACCACGACAATGCGAGCTCCCACACATCGGCTCAAACAACTGCATTCTTGAGCACTCAAAACGACGATTTGACAGGTCATCAGCCAAGTAGTCCCCGAGTGACTTCTTCTCATCCCGTACGTAAAAAATAAAATGAAAGGTTAACGTTTTTCGACACCTGAAGAAGCCGTTAATTCGTTCGGAACCCATGTTTTAGAGTTACCTTAATCAGAGTGGCAAAAGTGCTTCGAAAATTGGTTCGAGCCCATGCAAAAGTGAATAGATCTTAATGTGGAAAATTTTGAAAGGCAGTAAAGCGATTTTCACTAAGTAGTATTTGTTTCTCTTCTCAAATCTCAAAATATAAAAGGCAGCCTACGTATGGCATCCATTGTTGTTTTTTAGTGTTCCAAAAGATATAGAAAACTTTTGCAAAATTATCTTTAAATGCGCCTAAGATCCGACTACATCGAAACTCAAGGAAACATAAAAAGTTAGGATGGCTTGTTTCAAATCGTCGGCTATATTGTGGCGATCTATGAGTTACAAATTCGGGAAAGGGGATGAAAAACAGAACATATGTCTGACATCACTTTTATCATGGAACAGCTGTAAATTTCTTTGGCACAGAAAAGCTGTATGAACTTCGAAAAAACTTAGAAAAGGGCCGAACATCTGAGCTTTACTTTGGCATTCTTCAGAAGCAGCCACCTGTGAAATCCGGATATAAATGCCTGAGCCTGGCACCCTCCAATTCACGGTTTCATTCATAAGTCCTTTGCTTTAGTAGTTTAGTATTTTGCAATGGGGTGGATTCGCTGGTGCAGTTATGCAAGCTTGAGATCCCTTATAATATGTAGCATACCTCATGTCTGGTTACTCACACAAGTAATAATTTTAACTTCTTACGCCACAATCGCCAACTTGTAAGCCCGTAATGGTGGCGAGTGTGGTGTAAAAATTGGGGTTATTTTATCGCTTGGTCCTCCCAAGTAAGTCATCGAAGGCTGTCTCAACAGGGTAACTTCATACTCCTTCATACATAAATTATGGTTAAAATTATATTCTTTTCCTTAGGAGATGGATTCCAATTGTTATGATGATGCCGATCTGGATGAACATTTTCGAGATTTACTGTTGGACTCCGATGCTGAAAACGAGAGCGGCGATACCGATGATTCACAGGGTACGCAGGCATTTTTTCGCTCAAGAGGAGAGTCTACTTCAGGTTCTAGTTCGATGGCGACACTTGACAGCGAGAACAGCGATGCCGAAACAAGTGATATTGAAGCTGACACTAGGTGGGACTTCTATCAGCAACATGGGCCGAGCAATGCGGTGTCAATGTGTTCTGCTCCAATAGATTTCTTCCAATTATTCATCGACGACACTCTTCTGACGCTTATAGAAAAACAAATAGATACGGGTCGCATAAGGACTCTAGGTTCGTGGACACTAACAAAGAAGAGCTGAAGAAGTTCATCGCACGGGCATTCAGATGGGACTTGTGAAAATGCCCAGACTACGGGACTATTGGAGCATACGTCCAGCGCTAGGAGGTCATCCGCTTGCTGGTAAGATTATGCCCAGGAACAGATTCGAGCAAATGCTTCGCTCTCTTTATTTCTGTGGCAACAGTGCACCAGACGAAGATCAACTGTACAAGATAAAGGCGTTTGTTGATATATTCAATGGCAACTGCCGAAGAAATCTTCAACCTGAAAAAGAAGTAACCATAGACGGATTGCTTGTACCAATCAGAGGACGAGTCGTTTTCCGACAGTATATACCGTCAAAGAAGCATAGATATGGTGTCAAGATCTTCAAGCTTTGCACGAGACGTGGCTACACATGAAGATCAATGATCTGCGCGGGCAAGAACACACGCAGCGGACCACTTGCAGATACCGTCGTCTTCTCTCTGATGAGTGGTCTCCTAGACAGCGGCAGACAGCTTTGTTGTGATAACTGGTACAGCTCGATTGGATTAGCTAAAAAAAACTTCTGGAAAGAGGAACTCATCTAGTCGCTTCTTTGAGGAAAAACCGTCGCGGAATTCCACAACTTGTGAAAGTAAAGGAATTAAATCGTGGAAAGCTATATTGCCTACAGAATAAGGACGGTATTCTTGTGTTGAAGTGGAAGGATAAGAGAGAACTTTCGATGATATCAACTGCGCATAATGAAAAACGTGGTTCATTGAACAAACCCATGGTCGTTGAAGACTACAACAAGCTAATATGATTGGTGGATCAAAGTGACCAGATGTCGGCTTATTCTCCATTTGTTCGTCGCACCACAAAATGGTATACCAGAATTTTCTTCCACTTTGTCACGCAAACAACAGTCGTTAACTCGGAACTGGAGGCTTTTTTGTGACACAACAGGAAGTACCCAACTCAATGAATTCAAGATAAACATTGTAGAATCTTTACTTCAGGATGCGTTCAGTGAACCTCTCTCTCCGAGAATGATCCAGGAATTGGAAAGGTCTGAGAGCCGTTCAAAGGAAAACAGAAGAAGATGCACAGGTTGCTACAGGGAACTACGAGATGAAAAAGGTCGCACCTATGCCATGAACCATGCAAAAAAAGTCTCGACAAGGTGCAGCAAATGCCACAAATACTTTTGCTTGGAATGTTTTCCGAGTTATCATATGAAGTGCATGTAACTTATTAGTTTATAAACTTTGGTCTTGCTCCTTTATCATTGCCTTCAGAAGTACTTTTGTTTTCTCTCATTACTATGAGCGGAAGTCATTGGTACTCGAACCACTGCGCCTCAAGATTCTATAGAGGGTCATAAACCTGCTTTATACTCGAAAGCATCAAAAAATTGAAAGTGAATATTATAAATGAAAAATACTACCGTGGCACGTAAACGGGTCACACGGAGCCAGGAGCACGATATGGTGTGGCCGCCAGCGGGCCACGCGGTCGTCAATGAGTTAAGGGCTTTCTTGCCTCTTGGTGTGTTAACCAAGAAAACGTCATTGGCTGGATCTGCTTTTTTCAGGCACTGCTGCTCCGAACCGAACTGATATAAATGGCAATTGAACATGCACCTTATCTTCAGTTCCGTAAGGAAAAAGATTTGGTCTGCTTCGAATCTAATGCTGCCGCGCTGTGTATCCGTTACGATTAGCTATTTGGTGCACTAACCTTCTGGGCTCTTCTCGCTCCTCGTTACTGGTGCACACATCCACAACCGTTTTGTATATGTATCGTAGCACTGGTTTAGCAGCTCTGGGATGCTCCGACCTGTATGATGGTGTTGCTGGAGCTCCTTCTCCATACCGCTTCACCCTGTAGGTTACACTAAATAACAGAGGAAAAGAGAATGGGAGAAAAATATCGCCTCATCATTCGGCGATCAGCCGATTATGTGTGGGTCTTAGAACGAATAGTTGCAATCTGTATTGTCTTTCCGACGTGTCATCGATCAAGGGGCGGGAAAGCCGGGCTTCCCCGCCTCTCGAACAATCATGAACTGTGCCTTTAAGTCCCAGTCGATTCTACATACCTTGACCAACTCGTATGAGTTGCTTTATTCAAACAATATGAAAGCCTGACGATCTGGATACCGAGAATTCGAAGGGGGGCGCTTCCACGCCGCTTTGTTATTTGAATTCTCGATCCTTGGAGAAGTTGTCCAAATCCTTGGATGTGTTGAAGTCAGCTGGTGAAGGGTCTCATGAGTAGAGCGAATGAGGAGAGCTTCGATCCGCAGCTAACTCAATTTCTGAAAGACGATTTGTGCCGTGCTGTCGCACACTGTCGTGCAAGCAGGCGGCTCGCTAGTGCTGGCTGCATTCGCTCCAGATTCGTGTACATCTCGTAAATTTGATCACAATGAAACAATGCGATAATGGTTTGACCGAACGAAGAATTGGAGCGAAGAAGTATGAGCCTGGTGAAAGTCACGGAATGCCAAGGATGCCTTCGGTAGCTACCTTTTTGAAAGTCACTTTTGATCGTCCCATGAGCGATGACGTTCGTTGGCAGACCTGATCAGGGAATCTGCGCTACTTGGTGTCATGTCGAAAGCTAATGTTCCTCATAGAGGCTTCACAAATTGATATTGAAATTGAAATTGAATTTGGACAGTAGACGACCCAGGGGTTATCACCAGACCACCTGTCTACTGATAGATTTGGAAGGAGTACTCTGCTCTTACTAAGAGGTACGGCATCAACACTTTCAGCTACATCACTGAAAGCAACAACTGACGTCTGATAGTTATTATCTCTAACCATAGAAGGAAAGAAGTTCAAGTAGTCCGTGAACCCTGGGTATCCTGTGCCGAAGCGACACCTGGCGCGGCTCCAAATCGCAAGGAGGGAGATGGGAGCCCTAAGGCTAAGGAGGAAGTCTTAGGTGGATGAGCCAGCTACACTGAGGCAAAAGTTTGAATGTGTGAATCACAATGGTCATTGCCAAGACGCAGACGCAGATTATTCACATTGTGCAGTGTATTTCTTGTCATTCCTCGGAACTAAACATAGGCACGTATGGAAGGAGTGAAGTCGTGATATCTCCATTTACATGTTCTGCTATCAATCCACGCTCTTCAAAAA